AAAACATCACCAAGTATTTATGCATTTAATACAATTAGCAGGTTGTCCTTTTTAAGAGTTAATTGCCTCATTTTCTTATGCTCTTCATTTCATTTTCTATCTGCTTTCCTTTCTTTCCCCATCTCTTACTTTGAAAGAAGGGGTGCCTGTTCTCTTAGTGAGAACACACTTCCTTTCTTCTCCTCTCTACCCTTATCCACTGGGGCACCCTTTTATGACATTCTACAAGGATGCCTCACTCTTATTCCCTGGTTATTTCTCGCTTGCTTGTCTGGCAGCTCCTGTCTTTAGAGCTCCTTTATGTCTCTTATGAAGTAGCAGAACCAAGTAAACATCACTAGGCTGGTGGCTCCTTATTTCCAAGGATTTTCTGTGATTCTCCAATTTCCCTCTTTGCAATAAAAAAACCTGGACAATTCAAAGAATTTCTGGAATCTAGAAGGAAAGTATCATATCACCAGTTCTGAGGACTAGTCATAGTCCTAGGCTAGGACTGTCAACTCTAAGTTTTATTACGAGTCCCATAATATTCAGTTACATTTGTAAACCCCTATAAATATATTGAACAGCTAAGCTGTTTCTTTTTAATTAAGTAGTTTTCTAGCCTTCATGGCTTCTGAAAGGGCTTTAAAGCATGACTCAGGTGTTATATATGTATTCAAAATCCAGAAGGTAAACAAAAGGAGCCTATTTTTAATTTCACAGCTGTTTAGGGCCTAGCTGAATGCTCAGGTTGGCAATGTCTTAACTGACAAAATTACATTTTGGGAACTGCTGATTAATAATATCTTATTTTGTTTCTTGTTTAGTTGGAGAGATAAATTTACCTTCTGCTAGAAAAGCAAGTGCATTTACATTTACATACATCCCTATCCATGATGTTGATGGCTAGTGATTTTAGAAACAATGTTACTGTTATAAATAATATCTTTGTAAGTTTTTGTCTGTGCTTTCAATAAACAAATTCTCCCTGCCTTTTTCTACATGTTTTATATTCCAGGCTCTCTCTCCCTGTTTTCCCTTTCACATTCCACTTCAAAGACATGTTGGAGTCTTTTCAGTTAAATAATCATAGTCACTTTTTCTTCCCAACTGCAACCAGACTATTCATCTTTGGTTTGCAGATCTTGGCTAAAATGATGTTAATTGGCCGGGTTAAATTAGAGTTGTCAGTAAACAGTGATTACATGTGCACATGCAAACAGAACATCCCTGTGATACTAAACGTGAAGCTCCTTTGATCAGCTATACAAAACTCATGTATATTCACTTTATCAAACATTTAGTACACCAAGTTCACTTTCACTATGCCTTAAGAAAAAGAAGCTTATAAAATCTGTTAGGTTTACAGCTACTAAGAAGAACTTCCTCTTTAAATTCTTTTGGGGAAATTTTGGAACATTCCATAAATTCAGATAACTACAGCACATCTTTAATTTTAAAATGAACCTTTGCTGCATTTTTATGTTCTCATATACTGATTATTTTAAGTGAAACAAACCTCACACTCTAACCTTAATGATTAGTTTTTGGTTCCATAGTTTGCTCAATTTCAGTAGTGCATAAGCTAAGTTAAGGATTCACAAAACTTATGTCTAATGAATTCTGTAAAGTCCTCTATATTTCAATTGAAGTGGGGAAAAAAACCCTTTCTTTTTCTCGTATTGCCCCGCTTTTTAAAAAAGGCCTATTCTCTACTTACATTTTGATAGCACGTTCAGCTTTCTACCAAGTTGATATATTTGACCTAGATCTCAGAGGCAGCAAAACAGTAACATCCTGATCATTTTTTCAGTAATCAATCTAATTGATTTCAATCAATCTTCTCCAAACAGACTGAACTACTTTGCTACTTCCTATCCTCTCAAAGTAATTTGCTTTGAAAAACACCGTGTTAGAAAGTCAGTGTTACATTCCACAAAGCATTTCCTACTTTTTCACATAACACTACAAGTCTCCCTTTCCCCACAAATCCTTTTCTACAGTCACTTGATCTAGTGCAATTTATACTGTAAGACTTTCAATTATCAGATACATTACAGAGCTGTGCAGAGGAGAGAGAGAAGGCACCATTACCTCATTTCTATCTCTCTGCTGCAGCCTGCAATATTTGTTTTAATTGGCAAAAATATTCAGGTTTGAAGGTTCCCTTATTTTCCATCAAGGTTACAAAATTAGGTCAGCCTTAAACTGCACGGGGCCAATTTTTTTCTAGTTGATAAAAAGCAATGGTAAGTTAACTGTTAAGCACAGACAGTCGTAACTTTACATGAACAAAAAGGTATTCCTATCCCAAAAGAGCTTTGCTTGATTACAAAGTGCTTCAATTTTACACTACAACACATTTTGCTACTGACAAATATATCCTAATTTTAGTTACATATTTTATTTCCATTTTAAAGTGAATGTGATGAATGCTGTGTACTCACTCTGGCATTCTATGAACTGATGAATAAAAGTGCAGTCCCCTCCACTCTTTGAAAGAAAGTGCTCTAGTAAAGAAAGAAACACTTAAGTTTGCATTATCTTATCCTAGAGTTGATGCACACCGAATTGTAGATTAACAATATTTCTTATTCTGTTGCAAAAAAATTTCAAGAAGTTGAGTCAGTTTAATATGCAAACAGACATGACCTATTCTTTTGAAATAATCAAGAAATCTTTTTGGAGACAGAGGCATATTGATTGTCCTTTAGACCTAGCTGGTGAAAATATTGAGAAAGTATATTTTAATTGAGATTATTTTTCATGTGCAGCTACCTTTGAATACTAGTAAACTCTAACTGAAGTTGTTGAATGAATGGAAAAGTACTTTACCTAAAGCGAAGCTACTGTTTTTGAAAAATCTTTGACAAATTCAGTAGCAACAATTCATTTGACCAAAAAAAAACATTCTGCATCATTAGAATAGTTTAACTGGTGGCAAATGGCATCCATGTCATTACCTCTAATCTCTAGTTATACCAAAAATATTCAACCAAGTGCTCACCAATAAGTTTTAAATTACAAATAAATTTAGAAGGAATAAAATGATACAATATGGGAAGGTCTCAAGGATTACAGTTTACTTAAGTATTCAGCCCCACAAACTGATGGTCCATCCTGTTCCTTTCAATTAGCTTAAAAATTAGAGCTGAAAAATAAAATAGTACCAAATCTCAATGCTAAGGCCCCTAGCACACACTGAATTTGTTGAGTGTTATGTAAGAATATCATGCAACAAATCATAACATGCCAACCAGTCACATGTTAAAATTATCACAGGATACCTCCACACCACAAAAGGTGCTGTTTAATGAGGAACTTTTTGTGTGTGGCCGACTTGCCATTTTTGTCCAGGAATAAAAAACTGGTTTAATGTCTAGCTTGTTACGATTTGTTGCGTAATATCTGAAAATAACATGCAACAAATGTGTGCGCCAAGAGCCACAGGGATTAAGAAATCTTTTTACCGTACTTTATTCTTAAGCTTGGAGTTTCTTAGCACTTTTATAGTACAAGCAATAATGATCATATAGCTTCAACTTTTAAAATAAACAAGACTTTTCAACTAACAACCCGATCCAATGTAAAAAGAGCATACTGAGTGGAAGCTAACCTACACTGTGAACATTATCCTACTCGTAAATGACTCTACAATCTTAAGAGTTGACTCAAAAATTCCTGACCTGCAAGGACAAGTGTTTTGGCTCTTGAAGACTATACTTAGTGCTTATCTTCCAAGGAGGAGGTGTTATTGCATGTTTTTATATAACTTTTGATAAGATCACCGCAATTTCACTGATGGATTAACTGGCAAAAAAGATGAAGCAGTTTTATCCAAGTTAATATATGAAGTCAGTATCAAAGGCTGAACAAACATGGTCCATTGAAAAGATAATTTAACTAGTTAAGTAATTTAATTAGATTAGATAAATTAACTAGTCTCAAATTCTGTTCTCAGCTATACAACTGATTTACTTCTTACTCTAGCAAGTCACTTAACTTGACTGTGGTTTCATTTCCCAAACTATAATGTGAGAGTATTAGTGATTACTCACTTTACTAAAATAAAGCACTTTGTGACAGAGATGAGAAGTTCCTGGTTTCTGAGCTTACACTATTTTCTTCTTCTGCACTGTGACCAAGGAAACCCTCATATGTAAAAATGCCACAGATGTTACACTCCTTGCAGTAGTTAAAAGTAATCAGCTGCACCAAGTTAAGTAAACCTTCAGGGACTGAACTTAGGATTTTACAAATAACAAGACTCTGGAACTTTAAAAAAATATGTTGCACCTAAAATATTTTACCTTCTTTTGTCCCAACTTATACAACTTACTTCTAAACTGTATGTCAAACATACAGTCAGAGGAGGAGCCACTCCATCTCATCCAGCGGGCTACGCTGAGGCCAGAAAGTCTGGAGCATGGCTAATGGTAGGTATGCCCTGCAACAAAATTTGAAGCCCTTGGGCAGATACATCCCTCACTCATCCTGCAGTAACTTGGCCCACTGCTGCTTTGAGCCACACTCACCACACCAAGTGGCTGCCTGCCCCAGAACTGCTTGCCTTCCTGCCACCAGGGTGGCTACTGTGCTGTACCAGATCTGGCCCAGGGAACAAGGCAAGTTCGACCAGCGTTGCCAGATGTATGATAATAATCGTATTTGTACAATCATTTCAACCTTTCTACGATGTACGATAAATAACACTAGAAGTGATCAAAACGTACGATTATTTGATGCAGTTAACTGATGCAGCATATGAAAAACCCAAGTCACTCAAGGAGTCTTAACCAACTTTCAGGTTTGCCATCAGCACTCTCTCACAACTGCATGCCTCAGAATAAGGAAATGCTTCAACTTTGATGACCCACTTCTCACTCACTCATTGAGGATGTACAGTGAGCAATATAAAGTAACTGCATAACAATCACATAACTAAATCTCATTATGTAATAATACTAAAAGCTCTATTTTAAATGCTATAGATGCTCTTAAATAAATAGAACAACAGTATAAGGCAACCTGATGTTACTTAAAAAAAGACTACTTATTTGCATACTTCCCGTCCCCCCAAAAATACAATAATTTGAGCTTCCAATACAATAATTTCATATTCAAAACCTGGCAACACTGAGTTTGACATCCCTAATGTACAATACTGCAGCATTTGATGAAACAGTGAAACTGGCTGTGTACAGAGCCTGGCCATGCAACACTAACACCAGCATAATTTATATCAGCTTTAGACACCGGAGTAAATTACATCAGGAGCATGAGTGCACAGACGGCCAATTTTTATTCTAGGGTAGGTGTTATTTTAGCACTTGACCGCTAGATGACAGGGGTGCAGATAATATAGGCTGTTTGCCTACAGTGAAATGCTCCCCTGCAATTAGATAATCAGGAGGCACTACTTCACAGTCACGGCAGCTAGAATCTGGGACCAACTTCCAAGGGAAGTGGTGCTCGCTCCTACCCTGGGGGTCTTCAAAAGGAGGCTAGATAATCACCTAGCCAGGGTCGTTTGACCCCAGCACTCTTTCCTGCCCATGGTAGGGGGTCAGACTAGATGATCTGCTCAGGTCCCTTCCGACCCTACCAACTATGAAACTATGAAATTTAAGTGGATAGTAATTTTCTCACTCAGACAATTAACTGCTTGTCATGTAGTGACAAGGTGCTGTAATAGAACCTACTATGAACAGATGCCTCTGAGTCACTGCTTTTCTACCTGCTCTCAACCTCCTGTAATCCATATGGGCATATAGCACACTGGTAGAGGTGTCATTTGACCAGACCCTTAGTCACAAGACAGACAAAGCATGAAAGAATGCAGAAGTGCAAGAAATTATATTGTAATAAATGCAAAAAAGGGAATGCATTAGGACAAGGATGCTCAATCCTTGGCCTACAGGACAGATCCAGCCTGCAGAGCCATGTCATTTGGCCCACGGAGTTCCCCACAGGTCTGCAAATCTGGCAGCAGAGGATCAGTGCCACAGCTCCCCTGCTGCCTAATTTCCAGACCCATAGGGCTGAGCAGGGCCAATGCTGGGCCCCAATCCCAACATGCAAGAACCAGGCAAAGGCAGCATGAGGCATTCAGGGCCATTACAGCATGTAATGATAAAGAATGATGCCAGGCCCCAGGGCCTGATCCTGTTATCCGGGGCTCCATCCAGCCTGTGGACTGGCCCTGGGCCATTAATCTGGCTCTCACAGCCAAAAGGTTGAGCACCACTGTATTAGGACACAGGACGCAAAACCACAAAGTGGTCAATGAAATTCAGGGGGCATCAGAAAGAACAGGGTCACAGGAGAACATGGTATAAGATAGGGAAATTGGGAAGGGAAGGAGACCTGTTGAAGAGGGTGGGAAATATGCAAGCACAGTGAATAATAAGAGAAGGTGACAATATAGTAACCTTAGTGGGAGAACAAACAGGCCAGTTGCTAGCTTGTTAGTCTAGTGAGTGGCAGGGACAGGGAGAGGAAGAGGGAGAACTTGGGTTTTTTTTAAGCTTAATTTACCATTATATTTGGGAGCCTGCTGCTTAAGCTTCGAATAGTCAGAGATGGCAATACTGTTATTACAACAATAGGGAAGAAATTTTCTTTTTTTTCTAATGTAAATATAACTTTCAATATCACAAGAATTGCTATGGGTGCACTACTTCGAGATATTACTAATTAGGGATAATTCCTGAAACTAAAGTTAAATTTGTGAAACACTGGATTTCAATACAATGGATATTCTGATACCTATATGCTTTATTTTCTTTTTAAACAAAGAGTCCAGTATCCTTTTTTGAATAAATATTTCAGTTTTCTGCAAACACTATTATTTATTGAGGAGGAGGAGGGGGTGAAAGGGGCCTGCCCCTTTATATTTTCCTATTATCAAGAAAATGTAAGATTAATAGGAAGATTCATAGTGCACCAAAATGTTTGTACATAAAACTTCACAATGTCTAGTGGCACAATTTTAGGAGAAAGAACATGGCATTTTACTACAAAAAATATGAACACACCTTCTCATAAAAAATACAAATCTATCATTTTGGAAATTGAAAACAAATGTAGTTTGAAAAAATTCTTAAAGGTTTATTAAAGTTATCACTATGCTAAGTAAATATACTTCAATCTACTGTTTAGGTGAGTAGCTCAGAGAAACATTGTATGCAGTAGACATTAGACCTCTTTCTTCCCAATGTTAATATGAATCACTGTTAAATGCTTGGAATGCCATGGAGGTTAGCAGACATGACCAGTACTCAACTTAGGGGATTTTACAGCTTCTCTCAGTATTTAATCAACCTCTTCTTTCTATAGCAAAGAAATATGAGGGCCAACAAAGTCATCCAACAGTATTAACTAGTTATTTTCTTCACAAGTTAGCCAGAACCATGAAACATCAACAGAAGTTCCTTCTGCTGCCCAATTACAGTAAAAGGCAGCAAGTAATCTTCTAGTGAAAAAAAACTGAGCATAAATTGAGAAAAAGTAGTTGTAGAATGTAGAAACAATTTGGAGAAATTCAGAAGACTGGAATAGTACTTGCCTGGCAGGGGGCAACGTTAAGCATGAGAAACGGAGAATGTATGCTTGGAAGATGAAAAAACCCTGCATACTAGGGGTGTGCAAAACAGGCCACATTTGATCCGGCCCGAATTGGGGAAAGTGATTCAATTTGCTGATTTGGATCACTGTCCCAATTGGCCCGAATCCGAATCTGAAGATTTGATGCCAATTTGGAGAATCAGTGATTCGGCCATAGACACAGCTTTAGATGATATTTCTACATAAGTCGAGATACCAGGCATGGCTCATGAACGCTGTGATGCTGGGGCAGGTGGAGTGTCCCACAGGAGTGTGGGGAGGCCCCAACGTGCTTGGCGGTGAACCCTGAAGTGGTTCCAGGTCTGCCACTGAGTGCATGGGGGGCTCCCTGCAACCCTGCATCCCTCCCCGGCTGTGCAATCAGCCGCAGGGGGACCCCAGGTTCTCCCCCCAGACCCAGGAGGCACCAGTCGCCAAGCTGTGGGGTGGGGTCCCCCGCATGCTCTCTGGTGGACTCAGAAGTGGACCAGAAGTGCTTGTGGTCCACTTCTGGGTCCACTGCCGAGCTCCTGTGGGATGCTCCATCCACCCCAGCATCTCAGCATTCACAAGCCACCTGGTACCTTGAGGTATGTAGAAAAAAACACTTAAAGCTGTGTCTATAGCTGAATCATTGAATCTTTCCAAACCTCTCCGAATCGTTTCAGAGAGTTCCAATTTGATTCAGAGATATTAAAGGGTCTCCTGATTCGATTCAGATTTGGAGATTCAGCCGCTGAATTGGGCTGAATTTCTGCCGAATTGAATCAGCGACCAAAGCTTTGCACAGCCCTACTGGATACTAGATATTATGACAAATAATTAATGTGCAATGAAAATAAAAGGTCCAAAAAGTAAAAACTTTGTAGAAAAAAAATCATTTGGTTAAGGGCACTTATGATCATTTTTAAAAGAGCACTTATATTTAAAATATCATGTGCCAGTTTATTTATGAAGATTAGTGACCAAGCATGATAATTCCAAATGATAAGCCTTAAAACAGCAGAGAAAAAGAACACCTTAAAGGATTTTTGGCCCACACCAAAATAAGTTATTTTAAATTCTCTTTAGTATAAAAATATTTTCTATTTTAGTATAATTTAGAATATGTTTTCAAAATACCAATTCTACAGCATAAAATTCTATTAAATTTGGATTCTTACCATATACAATAACATGCACACAGGAAGAAAGACAAACCTTGCCAAAGCATAATTAAATTAGATCATTCAAAAGGTTTACTGAGTATAATTTGGAGGGACATTAGCAGGACATAAAGATAAGTTTAAATTTGTTTTTTAAAACAACAGATCTATGTAACCGTTTATTAGAATTGTAGATAAAGTCCTGCTTGAGTTTCCAAAATCTGATTTAGTTTATGCTGTTTAGATATTTATACTTTATATTTAAAATATTATATTTATATCTATAACTTTCTTAATTTCTTTCTTTAGTTAAAAAGAACCAAACAGGAAATATAAAACAAAACCAAAAAAAACCTTTGAATGATAAATAGAATTTGTGCACTTTCAGACAATAACCATAAGAAAAAAGGTAGTCTATTTTTATACACTACCTTTTTCTGTGCTCCCATTAATTTTAGGTATGAAGTCATCAACTTGTATGCCTAGGATTGAGAAAGGGTATTATTTCTGGAACCAAGCAAAAGTTTTCTGTTTTTTTTCTTTTTTAGTATACAGCATTATGGAATTTAGCTGGCTCTCCCAGCTGTTTTATCTCAAGTATCCAAGTAGTAACAACTCCAAACAAGCATGTTATACCCCCTAATGAAATTTTAGACAAGCATCCCACATCACATGCTCTATTTCATTGATCAAATGTACAAAAAGACAACCACCTCCCAAAAGCTACCGTCTATTACATAAAGGTCCTCTTTTTTAACTTTTCTTTGGTACAAACACTACTGAGCTCTGAAAAAAGTGAAGGACAAAAGTTAGTCTGGATAAACAGTTTAAAGTAGCAGCACCCTCTGCTGGCAATTGTTACATCCGTGTTTATTTAAATGTTAACAAGTGATACTAAAATGCATTCAGCAATTAAAGAGAAAGAGCTACTGAATGTGTAATCTGAAACTCTTTTTTCTAATGGTCAGAAGTACCTGGAATACAGCATTACAATAATAATAAATAAATTGATGAAATCCAGCTTTAAACAAAAACCATTAATATTACACCTACCTAAACTGTTGTGTTCTTTAAGAGTTTTCTCTTGAAGATGTTCTAACCGTACTGTAAACAGAATTCCAAGAAAAAGATATTTCACAGATTAAGAGAAAAATAAATAACCAAAACATTTTTTGACTAGCGACTAACCTTGTAAAGCAGTTAGCCGTTCATTGGTGAAGTCACTGTCAGCTTGCAAAGCTTCTATTTTTGCCTGAAGTTCTTGTTCTCTCTCTTCCATTTCATCTATTTTATGTTGCAATTCTTTTTTCTCAGCCAAGCCCTTCTGCTGGATTTCTTCTTGTTTTCCTTCTGCAACCTACTCAAAAAAAATAAAAATCAACTGTTCATTTAAAAAAAAATGAATTACATTTTCACATAAATATTCAGGAGCGACTTCCTTATTCACCACCATTAGAAACATTCATATACTTGTGTAACTTTTCCCAAACTCATTTCCAGTAGTAAACTCACAGAGACCTCCTGTTTTCACAATGTGAAGCTGCTTTTTCTGTATCCCTGTTTTTTCCCCAATTCCAGGGCTCTAAACCCTACAGTTTTTTTTTCATCCAGATACACCTTGCTTGGAACACAACAGAGGAAACAACATGACAGAGCAATATTTACAATTTTAATTAAGTTTATCATTTAAAAAATCAAACATTACAGTTTTACTGGACTAGTACAAATGTTCAAGAACTTTCTACAACACCGTAAGCATTACTTGGTTCACCAGCCAGAACAGTCTGGTTTGTCAAACAGGATAGTATGGCCACTGACAAATCTGATAGAAATGTGTGCGGCTTCTTCCTTGTTAATTTAAAAAGAAAAGCTGTCATGGTGGTAACAGACAAAATAAAAGGAAGTTTTGAAAGATTTTTCTCCATATTCTTAAAAAAAAAAAAAAAAGCTGTAACCCTGATCCTTATTTAACAAATCGTTCAACATCAACAGTAAAATTGTATTTGTGAAACCAATACTCTAACACTGGAATGTTCAGTGTGCTTTCTACTTTTATTTTAGAAGATAAGTTTAGAAGATAAGTTTACAGTTGCTAATGTGGGCTATTTTGGTTCTTGGTCACCAACATAATTTTTCTAATGTAGTGATTACTGTTTCAATAATCAGTAACACCTACACCCCGGTAACAGCAATTTACTTTTTTAATTTGACAGGAAAAGTGGTTCTGCTTCAGATCCTTTACTAAGATTCAAGGAACCTGAGTTACAAGTCCAAAACTGTGTCTGACAGTCTCCATCTCTTTTGCCAGTTCTGAAAACATAGAGATACTTATCCTTCTTGTCTTCATCTCTCCCACACATTCAGTATTGTGAGCTCTTTGGGTGTGGACTTTTTCTTACAACTAGTTAGGGTTACCACAAAGGAGGTTTAAAATTAAGCAGGAGGAAGGGAGTTTCTTTTAGGATACTTTTTATTGCACATGGAGGGCGTTTTGTACCCAAAAGCATGTTCAAAAGTTCTCCCACCTATATAATCTATCCAATAAAAGGTATCACTACAACAAAACCTTCTCTCTCCTATGTAACCATCATGGTCCAGGAAAAAACACTCCGCCCCTACGACAGGGAAGTTATCGAAATCTGCTATTTATAGGGAAAATCCACAACATGAAGAGAAAGAATCCAGGCTACACAGTGACTTCCACTTCCTCAATTCGTGCAAGAAACATAACATTATTCCTAGATGACTTACTATCTACAAACCTTAGGCTAACACACACAACTCCAAATATGCAACAGAGGACATCAGAAAAAAAATGAAGCACCATCTTCCTCTCCTCACCTAACCTACTGCAAAAAAGACAGCAGACTTGAAGCGCGCTTTGGGCCTGAAAGCTTGTCCAATGTCTCTCCCAACTATACACGCAGTTTAATAATAATAATAAACTTTTGCCCCAGCCACCCACACTGCACATGGTTTAATGTGCAACACGTGGGATTTGTGGTACCACAAAAAGGTTTGGGCAGCACCACAAACTGCACATACCTGCATGTCAGGATCCAGCTCATGAGCTTATATATTATGTGTTATTTCATTCTAGTTGCCATTGCACAGAGATGCGTCGTGAAATAGCAAAGTCTGTCTGTTTAATTGTTTAGTTTGTATTTCCTATAACTGTAAGAAAGGCTTACATCAAATAGTTATTTAAGCAAATAAAAAAGAAGAGGAGAAAACAACCCCTTTTTTTAAATCATCTCAAAGGAAGTTTCTTTTCAAAAGATTTCAGGTACGTTTAACTAAAACAAAGAAAACAGGGGTTAAGGGGATTGAGGTATCTATTTCTCCATTTATCTGTTGTTAGTTTAAGCAAAGTTTTCTTTACTTTAAATAAATGTGACACATCTGTACTTAAATATGTACTGCTTCCATTGTAGCTTTGCAGGTAGTTATTATATAAAAGGTTTGTCCTTACCTTTAGTTTGTCAGAGAGGTCTTTAATTTCATTTACAGCTCCATTGTACTTATTGGCTAATTCTCTCAATTCTTCCTGAGTCCGCTCATTCATTTCTTTCAGGTGAGTACATTCATCTTCCGTGTTACTTAAACTTCGCTGTAAGGAAGGAATTACTGTATATAATTGCCAAAAATATTTTGTCATGTGAGTAATCAGTTAAAATGACTTCTTTCAAATGCCTGTAAAATGCCTCAGTTTCTAATTTCTGACAGTAATCATAACATTAAAATCACCTTTTTTCTATAATTTTCTATAGAAGCCAAATGGATATGTAACATGCTGCCAAAACAGAACCTATATTAATAGCCTCTGTAAGAGGAATCACATGTTAAGTGGAGCGACATGAACTATCTGTGTATAAAAAAGTATTAAAGTATGTTTTGGAAATAAGTACAATTACTAGCAATAAAGAAGGGAGGAAAATCATCTTTTTCTTGGTTCACACATAGATCTCCTTCAACAACAATGTAGCTTTGCAATCCTCTGTGGAAGCGACTATTTACTGTAGAGTTCAGACACACTTTCATTTGGGATAAAGTGTGTTTAATATATTTTATAGAGCACACAATTACAAGTAAATTTGTTACTTGCAACTAGATTGTATAACCTAAATCAAAATCTATGCTAAGATTTCTTGAATAACTACATTATCAAAGTGATTAAACCACCTATTTGAAAACAAATGATTTAACTATACATAATCTACACACACTGATGGAGGACTCAGACTGGCACTGATTTGGTAGGTGGAGGATATACACAAAACCAAGCTAGGGTTCAAATAAATGTTTTCTCTCTGAGAGAGCAACCCAGGAAATAAATACCCTATGAATGTGTCCTATATTAAGAGTTCTGACTATTACAGAATCAAGAATGAAGAGGCATACTTGTTGCAGCAGCCACTACAATATTTGACAAACTTATCCTGAAAAGTTGCAAAATTAAAGCAGCGAAAGATAAGCATATTAATATCTTCAGTCTCATAGATTATGTCACCTTTAAACTGAATAGCACTTTGCATAAATGATGAACTGAGTATTACCAAACATCTACTGATCTAAGGAATATGCTTGAAAATATATATGCATATGTGCAACTTTCCTCATATTCCTAAAGCCAATGAGGCTACTTATAGTAGCACAAGCTATTCTTTGTAACAAGCTAATCTAGGATATGAACATAAAGAAAAAGTAAGGAAAGCAGAAAAGCAAATTAGAAGGTGAGCTTAATTACAGCAAATAGAGTTTAACACTTTTTTATTTTTTTATTTATTTATTTTTTTAAGAGAATGGAATTGGGCAAGAGGGAAGAAACAGATAGCAAAGGAGCAGAAGTCACTAGTGAAACAGAAAAGAAGTCAGTTGGCTGAGGATGGATTTGAAGAAATGGAATGAGAACCAGCTGTTGGACTGCATCTAATAATTTAATTTTAGATGCACTCTAAAATGCTTAAGCTTGCAGGTCCAAATATGTTTTAGAAATCTTATTTAAAACCAGTTAACCTCCATATTTCATACAATATACTAGTTTCAACATGAAAACGCTGAAAAACAAGATTTATGGCACATTATAACCTGCCTGCCATCTGATACCCCAGGTAAACTGTCTGCATTTTACCAGCTACCTTCTACCACCAGTTCTACCTTCCCACCCCCATCCCCCCTCACCTGTCTCACACCGATTGTCTCCCATTCCCTCTGACTCTCCCTGGAGCCCACACAGAGAGCACATGATACCTGACAGCCAATCCCCAAGTGGCCAGCCCAGGAGGGCAGAGGAACAGGCAAAAAAATCCAGAAAATTGGCTCTTATTTTAAAAACCTGCCTAGACACAGCATAGGGGGCCAGAAAACAGGACATGTCCAGGAAAACCCAGACATATGGTAACCCTGCTTATGTCTTTAAACCAACATGGCTACAACTGAAAAATAGGAAGCTTAGTTATCAAGTTCTTCTCACTTGCTCACTATGCCAGAGACTGACTACCAGGAAAAAATATGCATCCTCAAAACTTCCTAACAAACTGTACCTGATCCAGGAATATAAACATTATCACACACTGGTGCAGTGTAGATGCCAGACAGGCTTGAAAGACTAGCAGTTAGAAAGACTTAAATAGTCCTATGAAAGTGGTCATAAAATAAAATACAAATACCTCCACTTCAGAGAGCTTTCTGACCACTTCAATTTTCTCCTGTAGGACCCGCCTCAGGGACTCTTTGGCTGTTGTCTCATAATTGTGTTTGTCTTCCTGTAATGCTATAAGTTCCTTTCGTATACTGTCTTCTGTTTGATTCTGTAAGTAGCAATATAGAAGACAGTTAGGATAACTCAAAGCAGCAACTCCTAAAATAGATTAACAGTTTGATTCGTATACAAAAAATATCCACATTAATTTTTCATCAAGACCCATTCTGTCAAGGACTGTAAAACAATTCTGGCTACGGTAACAAAACAATAAGGACAATAAAATATTTAGAGCAATTGGTTTGACTTGGTATTATCTAGTACAGGATTTTGAGCATTTAGAGTAGAAAAATCTCTAGAACTAGTTTTGATTATAACAAGAATTCAAACAAAATCTGTGTATTCCAACTGATGCACTAGCAGTACTGTGCCTAACTCTCCAGACCTCCAATTTGACATGTTAGCATAGTGGTCCTCAATCTCTTTTTAAATTTGCTATGTGTCATGGATTATAAAGAAGTAATGCTATTGTACTACTATGTCATTACACTACAACAACTGTAAACTCTCTAGTCTTTCATTTGCATTTTCCCCTTATTTATATTTCCCCTTTTCTAGCTTCTGTTTTCTCATTCCTTCCCTTTGTGTCCCCTCTAGCAGCTCTGCACATACTCCAGTTTAAGAAAGTTTACTTGTCCCTTTGTACTAGAAAGCCAACAGGTCCTAATCTGAGAGGCCTGATAGAGGAGATGATCTTAAAGGATTCTTTATAATCTATGTTACGAAGAAAAAAAGAATCAATAAATTACTTTCAGGGTACTAGTAATCTGCAGCATGCTTTTGCTTCTCTAAAATCTCAAATACCATGCTCATCATGCGTTATTTTACATTTAGAAATGTTCATCCACAGAGAATACCGTATAAGATGTCAGCATACACTACTGCAAGAAAAAACTAAAACTACATTACCTACATGACTGATAAATGCTGAAAATGCAACTGTCTAAACTAGATTTAGCTTCCTTATGTGTTCTTGGCATCATAAGAGGTCCCAGGAAATACATAATCACGAACAACTGTAACCAAAAAATTTTCCAGTTTAACTTAACTTTCATCAACAATTACTTAATGAAACAGTTCAGTGTGAACCTTTGCAAACCCCATTTGAAATTTCAAAACTGCACTGAAAGTTTGATTTAGTACCACTATTTCACTTTAAAATGGTTCCAGAGGGCTGTGGTTCAGTATTTCTAAAAACTATACAACCAGTCCAAAAAAACTGACATACTTTTGAACAAGCTTGTAATTGGTTTCCCATAACCTCTAGCCGTGATAGCAGCCTGTCTTCATCTATTAAAGCCTGTTGGAAAAAGTAATATATTCAAATTAAGAGAACATATTTTAGAAAGCAAAAAAATCCAACAGTGAGCATCTCAAGAATGCTCATAACAATAACGTTTTGAAAAAGATGCAGAAATTCCCTTAGAAACCTTCAGTTTACTGGATTGATTAAGAGCAATGATTAGTTCTAACACAGATGTTCACCATGTTACTTCATCAATTAAAAATGTTGCCTCTTAAACCAAGTTGGAAAGAGCTAGTTTTAAGCCTTCCATCATTCTGCTTTAATTTTTCCTAGTTAAAATTAGTTATAAGTTGCCAGCGATGATTTATAACCCATGTATATCAATTCCTGTAGGGCTAAAAATGAAAAGAAAGCATGCAGATACCTGCCAACTAGTATCTGAAGCTTCCTGCGTGACAGCGAGCAGTCGCTGAAGGGTGGCCAACTTCTGTTCCAACATTTGTTCCCGATGTAAGGCTTCCTACGATGAACACACAAACCAACAGTTTAAATTAAGAACAACAGAAACAAATGGAGAAGATATCAAAACACTGTTAAATTGAAAAGGGGGAAAAGAAGATTGGCAGACAATATAAATTGTATGTTCAAACATTATTTAAAATTATGGCAAAATGAGAACATTTATATTCATTTTATTTATACTTATTTCTGAGGATGAGCAAACTGAAAGATGTTGGCCAACAAGATTATATTCTTAAGGGTTTCAGTTTCAAATCACTACCACATGTATTGTAAATATATTCTGTGACAAAGAACGAATAAATTATTCCTATAATTTTAACAACTGCAGGCAAAGTCCTATTAAAAAGTGATTGAGAGTTAATGCTGGAAATAGAGGAACAGAAATTGATTTTTCTTTTTCAGAAGTGAAGTTTTACAACAATGTTAAAGTTATATTCCAAGTACATGCTTTAGAAAAAAGTTAGGTTACAATAACAAGTAACAGGCATTACCTTCTAGTCCAGCCCGTACTCATAAGGGAAACAGTAATAATATCACTGCATTTTGTTATTTACTCTTATCACGCATATGAGTTCATGATGGGATCTAAAATGATGCAAAAAGAAAAAGCAAATCCACAGAAAAGTTGTATTTTTAAATTAGGCCTGTGCAAGAATTTCTTAAGTTGACAGTTGGTAGCAAAGGCTGGGCAAAGCTTCAGTAGCCAATTCGATTTGGAGGAGATTTGGCCCGATTCGAGGACTGAATCTCTGAATCTGAATCAAATCAGGAGACCAAGTAAAAGCTCCAAACAGATTCGAAGCATCTGAAACGATTCAGAAAAGCTTCCAAAAAGATTTGGCCATAGACTAAACAGGCAACTGATACAGCTGCCTCCAGCTAGTAAATATGGGTGGGTTGGCAGAGTGGGGAGGGAAGGGATGTGCGGGAGGGAGGGATTGGGGCTGGGACAAGCTGCCCAGCCAGGGCAGGGGGGGCACGTTACTCAGGAAGGTTGGGGGGGCACGGGATGCAGGCAAGTCAGTGCTGGTAGCAGGGGCTCTGCTCTGCTGCCACTTGCCCAGCCGGGACAGGGGATGGTGCATGATACAGGCGTGGCTCACTCCAGGAGGAAGGGGGCAAGCGGCAGCATGGCATAGCCCCTGGTCCCAGCGCTGGTGCACCCGCATCCTGCACCCTTCTGTGCCAGCTGGCAAACAGCAGCAAGGCAGAGCCCTCACTCCCACAGCTGATGAAGGCGTGGCAGCACTGGGAGCAGGGGCTATGCCCTGCGCGAGCTGTGCCTGCATCACGCTGTCCGCCCCCCCCGGTCCTGCGCCAGCTGGGTAAGTGGCAGGACAGCATAGGCCCCACGGCTCCCTCTGCCCAGGGAGATCTAGGCACAGCCAGAGGAGCTGTGGGAGAAGTCCCCATAGTGGCCCTCCCCAGCCCCAGCTTCTGCCCGGTCAAGCCTCTCAGCTCTTTAAAAAAAAGCCCCATACTCACAGATTCTAGCAGCGGCCATTGGGGCCTCTGAGGGCTCGTGGCCGCAGCATAAGGCAGCGAACATCTCTCCCCCTGCAGTCACAGGTGCAGTGTGGCTCGGTAGGTGCCGCATGCTGTCCGGGAGCTGGGGCAGCTCCACCTGTCAACCGCAGCCTGGCAGCACTCAGCCCTAGCGGCCCCAGCTCCCAGACTGTGCACGGCACCCTGCTGAGCTGTGCTGCACCTGCACGATGCGACAACTGGTGCATGGGTTCCAGGTGGGGGGAGGGTGATCCCCACGGCTCTACCATGAGCTCCCAGAGGCCCCAATTGCCACTGCCAATCCGGTGAATGTGGGGCTTTTTTTTTGTTTGTTTGTTTTTTGTTTTTTTGTTTTGTTTTTAAGCGCCAGGACTAGGCTGGGGCCAGGCAGGGTAGCCATGGGGATTTCTCCTACATCCTCCCAGCCCAGGTAGAAGCAGGTACAGCTGCCTGGCTGTGCCTGCCTCTCCCTGGCTGATCTGAATCACCAAATCTTTCTGAATCAGCGCCAAATCTTCCGAAGCCAATTCAGCCAAATCGATTCAGGACAGTGATCCGAATTGAATCACTGTCCTCTGAATCTGCCGAATTCGAAATCGAATCAAATACTTCCCTATTCGTACAGGCCTATTGCTAGCACCTCCACTAGATATCACTGTCTTCAAAAATATTCCCAAAGAAACCATTGCTGTTTTAACCTTTTATTAAAAGGTTACCTCTTGTAAGGAGCAAATGCTGTTGGTCCTCTGTACAGTTACCATACAACATTATCAAGCAGAGTGTCCAACAGCAATTTAGCTATGATCACGCAGATTTGTAAAATTGCACAAATGACCATTGGATGTCCAAGCGACCCTCCTTTTTACATAATTATCAGAATTGCATGAAAATTATTCTTGCACATTTTTAAATCGGGATTTATTCCATACTGTTCCCCTCTTCTAGTGAAATGTGTATTTCCTAATTTGAGTTATTTTCATTTTATTCAAAAGTAATGAGAGTTCAGTGTTGTGTTCAGTGTACTGTAACAGAAATATACAACATGGTAGCAGACCACAACTTGGATCCTCTCCCCAGGCAGTTCATTTATTAATGACGAATTTTCATTTATAGTAGTATATAGGTAGGTAATATTTTACATATTGTTGTATATAAGCATAATATTATACTTGTATACAAGATTCTGTGCATGGCTTAAAATAAAGTTTTCAAAAGTAAAAATATGTGAAGTACAGTATTGTGTTTCCACCCTCTAATGACAAACAAATAAGAAACTCTTTAGAAAAGAGCCTCGACGGAAACATCTAAGCATTAACACAATGCAACAGTGATAGACACTGCACATATACAACGAAGGGTCACAGTCTCTGCCTTAGTCAAGGTAAACAAGATATAAATGGGACAAGTAAACTAAAAACAAATAAGGTAAAGTTATGTGTAAATGGAAAGTACACAGTTCACAAAAGTTACATTCAGAGACACATTTATTCCGCACACCGTCTCTAAAAAGATTTATACTGACACTATGAGCCTGTCTACACATGCACTGTGATTTCAGGAAGGATGCTCCTGAGTACATCTTGCCCATCTGCTCCTTGTTAAAACACACCAAATTGAGAAATGCAGTAGCAAAACTACCCTGGGGGCATCCCCCTACTACACTCCAGTATGTCAGAACCAAGGATCTCGTGTGGCTGGGGGAGCTCCCTCAAATCAGCTTCTTTATTGTCCTTCCAGGTTTGATGCCTGTGAGCAGAAGCAGATAAGTGGGGTATGCTCAGCAGCATGCCTTCTCATCTACATCACATAACCAGCATAGATACACCTACATGTGCTTCATTTGGTGGCTCCCATGTTGAGGTCTCTCAGTAAATGAAACTATCATTTCTAGGGTGATAGATTTGACCTATCTAAGCTGTTAAGCATGCCAGCATCCAATCCTGTAAAGGAAATTCAAGGGTTAAGTAGTCCAAGGCCAAGTTTAAAATAAGCAAAAAAGACTACACAAAACAAGGTGAACTCCATGAAGACACAGATCTCATTATTAAAGAGCTAAGCTTGGAGAAAATGAACTCTTGACCTGGTAGACAGCTCCCTTTCTGGTTTCCACCCCCAAATTTGGATTCCTATAGTAAGAAAAGGGGAGTGAAAATGTTACAGAAGGGGGAAAACAAAGGTAAAAAATTTAGCTAAGCATCAGAAAAGTGCTGGTTTTATAACTGGATGCTAAAACAGGAAATAATAAAATACTGTAACATATTTAACAAACCCAAGGAGACTCATTACTCTAAACGAGGAGTAACTGTTCAAGACAAAAGTAAAACCAACATACATGAAAGATAAATTAGGGCTTAAGTGCTCTGCAAGAACCCCTCTCACAGCACATTTACAGTTGACATCTTGCCTAATTGGATTATAATAAAGTTCACATGAAAAGAAAAGAAGTGATAAATCAGCCTATTTGTGTAACTAGAAATTAAATAATCTAATAAATTTGTATAGCCACTAGGGGGTGCCATTTATCCTCCTCTAATCAATTAAGTTTGGAGCATACACCGTTACATCTTAAGAGTGTACCACAAACTCAGAAATGATTTTTGACTGACTCGGATTTCCAAAGCATCTGCAAGGACAATTAACATAACTTTCTGTATGTATGCACATTTGCACGACCAAGTATGCTCATAAAAATCAATACATGAAATAATTACCAAGACCTGTAATTTAACTACATTTCTGGAAAGTTTATTCTTATGAGGAGAGTAGTTTTTGAGAACAAAATTTAGATGTCTTATGCTGTAAGGAGATCAGTTACTCTGTAACAATCTGAATCCATTATCTCTAAGTGGATTTGCAGTGTTCACAAAATTTAACAGGAATTATCTAAATCTTCTCTGTAGATATTGAAGACGTTCGCTAGGT